GTCTTTTCTGTTAAGATCACCCATGCATCGCTCCATCAGCCTCTGAAATGTACTTGGTGCATTAGTGACGCCTTGAGGCATTCTGTTAAATTCATAGAATCCTAAAGGACAGACGAATGCAGTCTTTGATTTATCAGCCTCTTCCATCTCAATTTGATAAAAGCCTGATTTTAAGTCGAGAACTGAAAACCATTTGGAGCCAGATAGAACAGAAAAGGCTTCCTCCAAATTAGGCAGGGCATATGCATCTTTTACAGTTTGCGAGTTTAACTTTCTGAAGTCAATGCAGAGGCGTACATCATTGTTTTTCTTTCTTACTACTACAATTGGAGAAGCAAAAGACGATTCAGATTCTCTGATGATGTTTGCATCAAGGAGTTCTTTAAGATGCCGTCTTACAGCATCGACATCCTGGGGATGGATAGGCCGAGCACGCTGCTTGAATGGGGTGCTATCACTGAGATGGATATGGTGTTTTACTTTGTTTGTGTGGCCATAATCCAAGTCATGAAGTGCAAATACATCCTGCATGGAGTTTACAAGATCAGTTATCTTTTCCTTCCAATCATTTGATAACGGAGAGTCACCAAAGTCAGGGATGATTCTATTTTGTGCAGGATTTGTAACTTTGCTCACAGAAGCATTTACTGGTTTTCTTCCCTCAATCACACTTTGTACAGCATGTACTTCGGCCAATACTGCTTTTGGAGGGATAATTAAATCAATTTGTGTCTCATTTCTTAGCACTATTGGTATTTGGACATTGCGTTTTGCAGGTAGAGAATGCAAACTGCTTGCCACAAGTAATCCACCAGGCAAAGATGACGATACTGAGGGTTCAATTGTAACACAAGTCTCTGAGAGTGGCCCAATAACTTTGACGCATCCATTAAGAACTACAGTACTTCCAGCTGCTATCACTTCAGGCATGTCTCCTTTTACTTTCACTTGGCCCAGGACATTCACACCAGCCTGCTGCAGTCTTGCTTCTAGAACTCTTATCACAGCTTGATACCCTTGATAACGTGACATAACTCTGGGCTTGACTGTTTGAGCATGACCAGCATATAAGACATCTAGGGTGTTAGTGCCAATAAGGATTTGGGGTGTTTGTGTTAGGTCTGGGACAACTAGGGCCAATGTTGGAACTTCGGCCTCAGTTCCTAAAAACTCTTGTGGAAACTTTAGAGTCAGTTCAACATATCCAAGGTAAGGAACAGCTTGGCCGTTTGCCCCTTCAACCTCCAACAGATGATTCAATGGCTGCATAGGATGTCGTGACAGGTAGCGGTTGTAGAAAGACATGGGGACTGTTGTGACTTGAGACCCTGTGTCTAGCAAGCAGTTCACTTCCTTTTCTTCAATTTTGACTCTAGCAGTACACTTCATTCCCACTAGTCCGGCTGGTAACTTTAAGGAGTTCCTGGTATCTGTATGCTTATTAAGTGACTGTTGATTATTTGGGCTTTGTTTTCTCTCAGTCCCCATCCGCCCTGCGATAGAGACTGATTTTAGTTTAAAGGCACTGTGGCTCCTCCATTTCTAAGATCCCACTCAGCTTGTTTCTCTCTTAATTTTTGTCTCTTTTCTTCAACTCTTAATGGGTTTGGTGCATTTTCACAGTAAATGGCAAGATGACCATCATCTCCACAGCGAAAGCAATACCATGGTCTGGGTCGATTGGTTCTTAATTCAGTGTTTTTTTGCCTTTCATTTCTCTCTCGACTGACACCAAAATCACTAGGATTATTACTCTGTTGAGGGGATTTCTGAAACTGCTTTCTCTGTGCTCCAGAAGTGGCAAGTTGGACTTTAAGCTCTGCTATCTGTCCTTTTAGTTGCTGAAGCTCACTTGCCTCAGTTCTCTCCCTTGCTTCCTGGTCAGCTGCTGTTTTAATGGCAGTGATTTGGCTTTGGAGAGCCATAATCTCCTTTTTCAAAGCATCAGCTTCAGATGTTTCAGGACACTGGGTTTTACTTTTCTGTTTAGAGACTTTCTGTTTTGGATTGTCAAATGCTGGAATATTAGTTGCATCCACTTCAAGTGAGTTATTAAAGTGAGCAGACTGTTGGTGAGTTATTGTTCTTAATTTGAGTGGGGTTGGTGAGGGTCTGCCCAAACCAAGATGCTTTCTCATTCTCTCTTCTTTTGAAGTTTTCTTCTCCTCAGCTGTTCTTAAGAGTACTGCTAACTCAGCAAACGAGAGTGGATCAGCTTTTATTCTCTCTAGCTGCAATTCAACTATCAAGGCATTGTCCCAACAGCCACGGCAGAACTGTTTCAGGAGATAACGGTCTCGTTCACTCTCCGCAATCCCTCCACGCCTAATGGTAGTGCACAAGAGCACATACAATCTATGAAGATAGGCAGATGATTTTTCACCAGGATCCTGCAGAGTGTTTATGAACTTTGCTAATAATTCATCTCCATCTTCCACTGAACCGTAAACAGACTCTAGTAACCTCAGACACTCTGATGCTGGAGCATTGGGGCTCACATGCTTAATGACATCTGAAGCAGGCGGTAACAGGCTGTCTAGAATTTTTTGCATTTTATGTGACTCAGAAAGGGATAACTCATTCAACAAATAGTCAACGCTTGTCCGCCATGTGTCGAAGTCAGGCTCATTACCTGGACGAGGCATCCGTCCAGAAAAGGCTTTTAAGCGGAAAGAAGCACTGTGTTGGGGCACTGTTTCACTCATCTTCACAACATGTTCCATAATTACTCTCTGAATGTCAGGGGGGTGCATAGAGGATATAGGAATTCTCACAGATACAGAATTGGCTTCTGTTAAACTATGGGGCGATGTAGTACTGATGTTCACCTTGGCTGGGTTGTTATTATCAATTTTTAGAGCAGATGGCTTGAAACTTCCAGTTCGCTGAGGGGTGTTAGTTACACTTGTCAAGACTTTTGTGCTGGATTTTAAATTTTCAAGTCCACAATCTTCTCTGTGTGATGCATCATCCAAATGTGTCACTCCATTCATTTTCATTGAATTTTGCTTAATGATATCTTGTTGGGATTCTACATTTTTATCCTCTAGTGACTTCAGTTGCTTTGCTGTGTCGCTAGATGTGGCGGTGCTGTAAGCAGTACTCAATTTGTGTATGCGGAATATAACGCTCATATCAGTAGGGCTTACGATAGTCAAAGGCAATTGAGGCTCAATGTTGCAAATGGCGGAGTTGTGTGAAAACTCAACAACTGCATTATGATGAAATACAGACTGCGGATCATCAATCAGAAAGTTTTGCCGTATAGAACCAAATCTCAAAAGGTAGGATTCTACGACTTCATCTGTTTCAGTTAGGGTTAAACCACTAATAATCACTGCATTTTCTATTTTAACGTCTTCTCGTTCTATGACATCCATTGTAATGTTATATTTTCACTATATATGCGTATTTCAATAATTATTCACCTCAAAAGCTGCTGCTTTCTCGCTCCTGGCTGGCTCGCCAAGATTGTAGCAAGTACGATTGATTTGTCGCGATAGCGTATTTTTCAATGTGGGCCAATTGGTCAGAAGAGAAAGAACGGCTACTGGAGAGAGAAAAGCAGCACAGCAGGTGAGTGAATAATCAGACACAGTCAGTTTTTTCCTTCAATATAGTTTATATAATTAGAAATATGTTATGAGTTTGTGAATTTCTATCCAATAAGCATAAGTATTTATGTATATATAGGTTCGATTATAAATAATAATAATAAAAAGTAAATAATTTTCTCTTTTTTTCTTTACACAGATGAACGTGAAGTCAATATACAGTTAAAACAAAGTTGTGATCAAGACAGTTGAGAAATTTCAAACACTTGTACAAAATGAAAATAAAAATCTTAGAAAGCTACAACACTGTGTTACCCTTTGTATAAAACAAAGTAAAGAAGGCAATAAATTTGTGATAAAAAATACTCTGTATTCTCAAATGTAATAAATAAAAGAAAATAAAGAAATAAATCAATAATAAATATACCAACTCTACTCAAATGCAGGCTATAATTCAATATTCACACTTTTAACTCAATAAATCATTAATGTGCTCAAATAAATCACCTCTCTGTTTAAAGAATCAATACACGGTTCAAATGAATCACCTCCCTGTTCAAAAGATCGCTACTCTGTTAAAATGAATCACCTCACTGTTCAAAGAATCAAAACTCTGTTCAAATGAATCGTTCGCTACTCAAAAGATTCGTTTTGCTGTCCAAAGGATTTGTTTCGCTTTCAGATGATTCGTTCCACCGGTTGCCGTTCACAGTTCAATACCAAGGATTTCGTGAAAGAGAACTGTTGATTCTCTTAGCTCAGTTCCAGTAAAGGTTTTCCGTTGAGGATTTTAGGAAAAGTAAGAAGGAAAACCGGAAGGTCGCGATGAGTCCGAGTCTCGTTTCTCCAAACAATCAAAAGAACTCTCCTACCAGTCTGGTGGCACAAACACACATTCTAACAGGAGAGTCGGTTCCGTGGGTGGCTCGCCGTAAGTTTCTCCTCGAGTCCAACGTGAATTAGGGACTCATCACAGATGCTTCGACACACACAAAAAACCCAGCCAAGGAAATCACTCAAAATCAAAGCGAAAACCCAGGAAAACTCCAGGTGGCACTCGTGTGCAGATTTCACTCTCATATACAAATGACGCTTTTTCTCTCAATCTTCTCTCACTCCCTTGCAAACACTGAATCACCATAGCAACAGTAAACACAAACTAACAGACAAGCGAGATTTGTTATTGTTTGGAAAGCTGATCTGCTGCTAAAGTGTAAGGCACGATGATGTCATTCTAAAGCACTACTCCCTTGAATGCTGTATAATACTCTTTTATAAATTATTTATATAAATAAATAATTTTAATGTATATTATTTAATCGAGTATTCTGCCAGTGTTTTTTCTCATATTTATAAGGGTATTTCTATTTTTTCTATTGCTGTGTACTAACAACTAGTAACCTGGGTTATCCGGGTTACAAGTTCATTGTTGTATTTTACACTCACCTTGCACATACACAGCATATTCACACATGCCTTGAGTTTCATGCAGCTGTTCTTTAACAATAGCCTGAAATCAGAGGAAACAAAGCAGCTATTATTATTATTATTTATCATTATTATTATTAGGAGTATTTTATAGAATTTATACACTAATTGTTGGATTTTCTGTGTTTACCTTGCAGGTCTCATAATCCTTGCGGATATAATGCAGATGTATGAGCCAGTTTCTTTTCTCCAGGATGGGAAGCTCAGGAGCTGCAGATAAAATATATACTTTAAAAATATTATATACTTTATATAGTAGATCTATATATGAACATATAACAATGTAGAGTGATGCACAACAGAGTCTCCTAAATCATATTTGAAGTCTTTATGAACATTGTAAATGATCCTAATGTTTCCGTTTTGTTTGTATGGAAGCTAATTGGATGGATGGATGGATGGATGGATGGATGGATGGATGGATGGATGGATGGATGGATGGATGGATGGATGGATGGATGGATGGATGGATGGATGGATGGATGGATGGATGGATGGATGGATGGATATACAAAGAGATGGACAGACGGATGGATGGATGGATGGACAGAGATGGAGGATGGATGAATAAACATAGATGAATGGATGGATAAACATGGATGGTCGGATAAACATGGATGGTCGGATAAACATGGATGGTCGGATAAACATGGATGGATGGATAAACATGGATGGATGGATGGATGGATGGCTGGATAAACATGGATGGATGGATGGATGGATGGCTGGATAAACATGGATGGATGGATGGATGGCTGGATAAACATGGATGATGGATGGATGGCTGGATAAACATGGATGATGGATGGCTGGATAAACATGGATGGATGGATGGATAAACATGGATGGATGGATGGATGGATGGATAAACATGGATGGATGGATGGATAAACATGGATGGATGGATGGATGGATGGATGGATGGATGGATGGATAAACATGGATGGATGGATGGATAAACATGGATGGATGGATGGATAAACATGGATGGATGGACAAAGAGATGGATGGTTGGACGAATGGACAAAAATGGATGGATGGAAGGACAAAGAGTTAGATGGATAGATGGATGGATGGATGAACGGATAAACAAAGAGATAGATAGATGGATGGATAGATGGATGGTCAAACAGATAGATGATGGATGGACGGATGGATGGATGGATTGATGGACAGAGACAGACGGACAGATGGATGAACCGATGGATATACAAAGAGATGGACGAACGGATGGATGGATGAACAAAGAGATGGATGGAGGGATGGATGGACAAACAAATAGATGGATGGATGGATGGATGGATGGATGGATGGATGGATGGATAAACATGGATGAATGGATTGATATACAGAGATGGATAGTTGGATGGATGGACAAGGATGGATGGATGTACAGACAAAGAGTTAGATGGATAGATAGATAAATGAATGGATAAACAAAGAGACAGACAAATGGATGGATGGATGGATGGATTGATTGATGGATGGATGGATGGATGGACAAAGAGACAGACAGACAGATAGACAGAAAGAAAATCACTTCAAATTCTGAGAAATATAAAATGTCACTATAGATATATATTTATATATATTCAGAACTGCAAGAAATAACTATGAAAATTATCTGTAAAACAATAGTTTCTCTTACTAGCAGACTAGTTTCACCATTTCATATGTAATGCAAGGACGCTGGAACATTTTAGGATGTGGCATAGCAGCGTTTTAAAATAACTAAATAAAACAACTTTTTTTAGGTCAGAGATTAAAGATGAGCCTAATTCAGAATAAAAGCTGTTTGATCTGGCGTAGGACATTAACTCTAATCGTGCAAATGCACATATCAAAGGCTGCACTTGAAAATCTGCAGGAAATCTTCTATTTTGGAAACAGGGCAGGCGGGATTGCAGTGAGAGCCGCAGCGGGCTCCTCTCGCTGTGGGAGGCCCCGTCCTGAATCCAGCAGGCCCCAGAACAAAAGCAACCCATATGCTGTTACATGAAGCGTCTGCATCTTTCTACCCTTGCTTACAAGCCCCCTGGCAAAATCTCATCCCAATCCGTTCTATTCCTGGACAGACTTTTCCCTCTGAGCCATAATCCTCTTCACTAAGCAAATGAGGGAAATATAGGCAAACAGCGCCACCAAGAGGACGAAGGGAGGAGAAGCTTACAAAACTAGTGATGGTTCTGTTTTCTTGTGCATTAGTCTCTAATGTTAAAATGATTTATAAGTTGTTTATTGATTGAGATTCTGACCTTTCTTCAGACGAGGTTTCTTGAGCTCGGTGGCCACCGGCAGCTGAACATCCTAAACACAGAAAATAAAGCTAAAACATGCCAATACAGTCATGTGTGCTGAAAATCAGATGTCAGTGTTTATAATCATACACATTCAAATATAAAGTGTTCTTATACATGTTGTATAGCTTTTTGCTGTATATTTAATACACGTTGACGGCTAATTATGCATTTAATATTTTATTGTCCATCAAAATAACTCTAGATCATTTTTTTCTCACATAATATTTATATAACTAGATTTCCCCCTTAAAATAATGTTTATATTGGTTGATTTCTATGCATTTTTTATTATTTAAAGCAAAAACCACTGTTGTATGTCTTATTGCTGTGTATTTAATACACTTTGACTGCTAATAATGCATTTAATATTTCATTGCATATCAAAAGAACTCTTGATTATTAAAAAATAAATAAATAAATAAAATATATTTTTTTCCTCTAACAATAATGTGTTCATATTGGTTAATTTCTATATATTTTTAAATATATAAAGCAGAAATCACTTGTATACCTTATTGCTGTGAATTTAATGCATTTGACTGCTAATAATGCATTTAATATTTCATTGTATGTCAAAAAAAATCATTTTTTCTCACATAATATTTATAATTCGATTTTGCTCTTACAATAATGTTTATATTGGTTGATTTATATATATTTTTTTATTATTTAAAGCAGAAATCACTGTTGTATATCTCATTGTTGTAATTAATACACTTTGACTGACAATAAAGCATTTATTATTTCATTGTCCATCAAAATAACTCTTGATCATCTTTTCTCACACAATATTTATGCAATTAGAATTTCCTCTTTAAATGCACTTTGACTGCTAATAATGCATTTAATATTTTATGCTATGTCAAAAGAATGTAATATGTCAAGCTATTTTCAGTCTTTTCTGGTGAAATATGTATATATTTCTATTTAAAGTAGAAATTACTGTTGTATATCTTTTTTTGTGAATTTAATAGACCAGGGGTGGCCAACCCTGTAATAGACTATATAGCAGGGTCACCAATCTTGATCCTCGAGGTCCGGTGCCCTGCAGAGTTTATCCCCAACTTGCCCCAACACACCTGCAGGTGTTTCAAGTACACCTAGTAAGACCTTGATTAGCTTGTTCAGGTGTGTTTGATTAGGGTTGGAGCTAAAATCTGCAGGACAACAGACCTCAAGTTTGGTGATCCCTGTTATATAGGACAGGATACACTTAATGTTAAAAGAACTCTTGATGATCTTATCTGACATACTATTTATATAACAATACTTGCATTACAGCACACGTAATAAGGGGGAAATGTAATTCCCATTCATGCATAAAAAACGCCAAAACGCAATACATATCCTAAAACATGTGTTTTTGTAAATCTAAACTATGCTGTTTTGAGGCAAACGTGTTATAATAATGATACACAGCGAAACCCCGGTAAATCTTCCGTCTGTCAGTTGTTTTCTCTCTGCAGATTTAACTTGAATATGACGAGCACCGAAATGACGACGAATACCGCTTACAGATGATCGTAAACCGACACCAAGTCAACATTTGGTCACATTAAACGTATTTAATATGAACAGTTTTCCATTCAGACAGAAACATCCATCATTTCTCACCGTTCTCATAGCGTCGTCAGCCATCGCGCTTCTCTCTTCTTCACTTCCGGCGGACGCTTCAGTTACTATAGAAACACGGCGACGTTTGTGACCACGTGACTTAAATAACTTTGTTGTTTATCATTTGCAAACGAGTTTTTGGAAATAGCTTTAAGTAATTTCTTTGTGTATCTTGCACAGCTTTATCTGAAACAAGATCAATAATCTTATACTATTCGCCTCGGTTAGTCTTTGTATAAAGTTCTGAATATAAATAAATCTGGCGTGCGATAGATGGATGCATGGATGGATGGAGAGAACAATGAATAGATAGATGGATGGATGAATGGATGATAGATAGAAACAACAATGGATAGACAGATAGATGGATGGATGAATGGATGGATAGATAGAAACAACAATGGATAGACAGATAGATGGATGGATGAATGGATGGATAGATAGAAACAACAATGGATAGACAGATAGATGGATGGATGAATGGATGGATAGATAGAAACAACAATGGATAGACAGATAGATGGATGGATGGACAGAAAGATAGATAGAACAATAAATAGATGGATGGATGAAACAGTAGATAGATAGATAGATAGATAGATAGATAGATAGATAGATAGATAGATAGATAGACATGGATGGATGGATAGATAGATGGATAGAATAATAGATAGATAATGGATGGATGGATAGATAGATAGATGAATGGATAGAGAGAACAATGGATAGACAGATAAATTGATGGACAGAACGATAGATAGATAGATAAAACAATATAGATAGATAGATGGATGGATGAATGGATGGATAGATAGAAACAATGGATAGACAGATAGATGGATTGATGGACAGAAAGATAGATAGAACAATAAATAGATGGATGGATCAATAGATAGATAGATAGATAGATAGATAGATAGATAGATAGATAGATAGATAGATAGATAGATAGACAGATGGATGGATAGATAGAACAATAGATAGATAATGGATGGATGGATAGATAGATAGATAGATAGATAGATAGATAGATAGATAGATAGATAGATAGATAGATGGATGGATAGAGAGAACAATGGATAGACAGATAAATTGATGGACAGAACGATAGATAGATAGATGAAACAATATAGATAGATAGATAGATAGATAGATAGATAGATAGATAGATAGATAGATAGATAGATAGATAGATAGATAGATAGATAGACAGATGGATGGATAGATAGAACAATAGATAGATAATGGATGGATGGATAGAACGATAGATGGATGGATATATAGATAGAAAGATGAAAAGATAGATAGATGGATGGATGGATGGAAAGAACAATGGATAGAGCAATGGATAGATGGATGGATGGATGGATGGAACAATGGATAGATAGACAGACAGACAGACGGACGGACGGACGGACGGACGGACGGATTGATAGAGACAGATAGACAGATAGATGGATGGATATAACGATAGATCGATAGACAGACAATGATGGATGGATGGAGACAGAACGATGGATAGACAGAACGATTGATAGATAGATAGAACGATGGATGGATAGATATAGATAGATAGTACGATCGATAGAACGATGGATGAATATAGAGATACTGTAGATAGATGGATGGATGGATGGATGAAAGAGTAGACAGAACAATAGATAGAACGAGATGCTGTTTTTGTTTATTACATTTTACTCTAAGTTTATTGACGTTATATACTAACAATGGAAATATATTGAAAAATTTGGTCGACTGTCATCTATCTACACTCAAAAAAATCCATCCATCCATCCATCTATCTATCTATCCATCCATCTATCTATCCATCTATCTACAGAACTTTATAAAAAAGACAGAGACACAGAAGAATCAGATTATTGATCATTGTTTCAGATAAAGCTGTGCAAAATACACAGATTATTTACAACCATTTCCAAAAACTCATTTGCAGATGATAAACAAAATATATATTTAAATAAAATAAAACTGTAATTTCGACATTGATCGCTGACATTTAGCGACATCATAACATCAAGCAAAACAATTAACCTTGGTATCTGAGTAAAATACCACATTTATCATGATCCAGTCAAGACATAGTCGACTAAAGGTTTTAGAAATGCACATGAACTGTTAAAGACACATTCCATTGACACACTGTAGGTTTTGATAGCTTTAACCAATATGTTGATTAAGCAAACAAAAAAAAACAAAAGACATGGTCCCTGCATCAAATCTGTTTATGACTTTCCATATATCGTAGACATTAACTCTATAATCTAATTCAGACATAATGTGATTCTTTCTTGACAATAATGAACTTCTTAGAAAATTTAAAAGCATGGACGGGTGTAATGCACTTGGTAAACAACCTAAAAGGTGGACATACATGATCAATTTGTTCTATAATTCGACACTGAATTAAAAGTCTGTATAATTTAATTAATAGGAATGTGCATAATAGAAATGTTGACATCCAATATTGTCACATTATTAATGCAATATTTGCACCACAGCATGTCTTATTTATTAAGGAGCAGCTGAAAACTTTTCTGTTTATCACTACTTGAAAATAATTTTCTTTCTTAGTACTACTGTCTTGTTTTCTGTTACAAAATTGAAATCTTTTTAAATAAATGATATGATTACCTGGAGGGACAGTTCACCCAAAAATTAACATTTCCTCACTTTTTATTCACAGGGTCCAAAATTGCTAGCAGCGCCCTTGTAAAACAGCACAAAGATAATCAAACAGGTTTGAAACAACCGGAGGATGAGGAAATGATGACAGCATTTTCATTTTTGGGAGAACGGTCCCTTTAAAATTGTAAAGACACAGTTCACCCAAAAATAAAAAAATCCAAGGCTGTGAATTAAAGCTAATGTCATAAATAATGTTCTGTTTCGTCTACAGACAGAATGCGTTTCTCTAAAATGCCCAAAAGCACTATCTGGGGTCCGTTCTTCGTACGTGGATTACTCAGTTAGCTGGATTTGGTTATCGACGATTTGACATGATCCAGGATCGTTTCGTTCTTCAAAGCTGATCTGAGAGTTGTTGTCATAGCAACAGTTCTGCTAGGTTAAACCTGGTCGGGAGCAGGTTCAATTTATATAAACAGGATTAGATCGGCTCAGTTCAAGCAAATATAATACAGAAAGTATGTTTCGAATTCTGATATTTTCTTACAGTGGTAGTTATATACACTTGGGAAAAGAGTAAATATTTTTTAAACTATATATATATATATATATATATATATATATATATATATATATATATATATAAAGTTATAGTCATTAATAAAATAAATAAAGTTATATATATTAATAAAACTTATGCAGTCTGCACTCTCGAAATGAAAGTACAAAGACTGCCACCTGGTGGTGCAAAGAGAAAACTTATTGATATGAACTTTTTAGATCGCTTTAGTACAATTTGTGTATAATAGAAATGCAGAATATGTGACTTTTTTTTAAAGCAATAATACATTTATGCAGTCATAAACATGTTTTGATAGTTAATATGATGGTGATTTGATGCTTCACAAAAGTTGCAGACGCCTTTACCAATATCAAAATGCTTTTGTAAACAACCAGTAATTCCTTACACCGATTAAAAAAACGGCTACTATAATAAAGAAAATCTTCACTAAATGTAGAACTAAATACACTGATTTGCATTGAAATACATGATGAATACTCTTGACACATGACAGTGTAAAGCCTGCAGCTCACAACAAATGTGGAAGGTTATTGCGTGTCATATTTAACAAACCGTTTACTGCTAATTTGATGTAATTTTGCTCACATGGATAATTGAATATTAATCAGATGATGTCATTACGCTGCTGTGCCTTCAGCCAATCATGGCATTGCTGATCATGATTTCGAGGATGGATAGATCTGTCCTTCACAACACACGCAGCGATCTCAGATCAGTTTATCCAGACATTCTAATCTGATTCTCGAACTTGTTTGAAGAACCAACTTAGCCAGAGATCAGCTATCAAGATTAAAAGATCCAGGATCTGCCAAATCATCTTAGATCATTTAAGCGAGGTACGAAGAACGGTATATTAGTGCATGGGCAAAGCTTAATTACATTCAAAATAAAAGTTTGTTTAGACCAGGGGTCTCAAACTCAAATTGGCGGAGGGTCATATCAGTTACTGACAATTTATAGGAGGGCCCCTTTAACATTCAAGCTCAATAAAAAGTGGTAACCTGATGTATTTGCTTAACCTAAAATTTGGATAGATGGATGGATATATCCATTTATCCATCCATTTATCCATCCATCTATCAATCCATCTATCAATCCATCTATCTATCTATCTATCTATCTATCTATCTATCTATCTATCTATCTATCTATCTATCTATCTATCTATCTATCTATCTATCTATCTGTATATATGATAAAACACATACATAAAAACAAACCTATGATATTATCTTGTTACATTTATATCTAAATATAAATAAACATTTACTCAAATTTTAAGTCAGAATTATTTGCTCCCCTTTGAATTTTGTTTCTTTTTAAAATATTTCTCAAATGATGTTTAACAGAGCAAGGAAATGTTCACAGTATGTCTGATAATATTTTTTCTTCTGGAGAAAGTCTTATTTGTTTTATTTTGGCAAGAGTAAAAGCAGTTCATAATTTTTTAAACACCATTTTAAGCTCAATATTATTAGCCCCTTTAGCTATAAGATATATAATTTTTGACAGAACAAACCATCATTATATAATAACTTGCCTAATTCCCCTAACATGCCTAGTTAACCTAGTTAAGTCACTTTAAGCTGTATAGAAGTGTCAAGAAAAACATTAGTCAAATATTATGTAGTCATCATGGCAAAGATGAAATAAATCAGTTATTAGAGATGAGTTGTTAAAACTATTATGTTTAGAAATGTGTTGGAAAAATCTGCTCTCTGTCAAACAGAAATTGGGGCAAAAAATAAACTGGGCGCTAATAATTCTTATTTCAACTGTACATGCAAATATGCATTTTATATAACATAATAATAAATATAATAATAAATATAGAATATATATAATATAATATACACAGTACACACACACACACCAAAAGAAACTTTTACATTGGATGCCATCAATCGCAGTTCATTTGTACATATATAAATACATACATACACATGCAAAACAACATTTTTTTATTTTAAAAAATAAGTATTTTAATAATGAATGATTTATTTTTTTGTCCCTCAAAGTGCTGGTAGCTGTTGACTTGCTATGTAATGAATCACCCAGAATCGCCATTTCCACCAAAAATCTTACTAAAGAAAAAAATACCCGCATCTTGGATGTCATAGGAGAGCGAATAAATGCATTTTTGGGTGTACTGTCTCTTTAAATCTTTTTATTTAAGCATAAATTAAACATGTTTATGTGCCAATGAAAAAAAAAAATCTGCCAAAGTAATTCTTCCTAATTTAAAGCAAAAACTTAATTAACCTGGAATAATTATATCATGTCATTTTGCATCCAGCAAATGTACAAAGATTTTGAAGGGATAGTTCATCCAAATATGAAAATGTCCTCATTATTAACTAAGATGTTTTCTTTACAAAGGAAGAAACACTGAAGAATGCCAGAAAAAGCAGCCATTGACTTCCATAGTACTTTTGTGCTCCAACTATGAATGTCAATGGCTGCTTTTTTTATTATTAAACATTAATTCAACAGTTATGCTCAACAAAAGAAAGAAATTCATGAGCCAAAAACCACTTGAGTGTTACAGTAAATGAAGATTTTTTAGTTTTTGTGTGAACTATCCCTTTAAGAATAATTAGACTTTGTACTGAAAATAGTGAACTACAGAAATTGCACATGTTAACTTGATTGAATTGCGGCTGTTTTCATTGGCTGCAGAAGTGAGGTAAATGTTGTAAACGCAGGAGCATCAGAGGAGCGAGGTGCAGTTTTTCAGCAGGAGGGGTTTGGCCATCTCCAAGATGTCTAGGTTGGGGTCCAGCGATCTCCCCAAACCCTCCAGAACCATGATGGCGAACACCATAGACGCAAAATTACTCTCCAGCTTCACCTGCAATAAGAGACGTCACAAAAATTCAGCATTAAAGTCCACATCAACCAGAAGCTGGGACCATTCATTTTTCCTATAGAGAAACTGAATATTAAATGGCAAAACAGTGGGCGTGGCTTGTTTTTTTTAATACTGTGAGCTGATTGGATGTAGTAAGGTAGGCGTTTAATTCGGAAAGATCTGGAAAAGTGTCTGTGAGAGTTATTACAACCTAACAGACTCCTCCTGGGGTCCGTTCTTCGTACCTCGCTTAAATGATCTACGATGATTTGGCAGATCCTGGATCTTTTAATCTTGATAGCTGATCTCTGGCTAAGTTGGTTCTTCAAACAAGTTTGCGAATCAGATTAGAATGTCTGGATAAACTGATCTGAGATCGCTGCGTGTGTTGTGAAGGACAGATCTATCGATCCTCGAAATCATGATCAACAATGCCATGATTGGCTGACGGCACAGCAGCGTAATGACATCATCTGATTAATATTTAATTATCCATGTGAGCTAAATTACATCAAATTAGCAGTAAACGGCTTGTTAAATATGACACGCAATAACTTTACACATTTGTTGTGAGCTGCAGGCTTTACACTGTCATGTGTCAAGAGTATTCATCATGTATTTCAATGCATATCAGTGTATTTAGTTCTACATTTAGAAAAGATTTTCTTTATTATAGTAGCCTTTTTTTAATCGGTGTAAAGAATAACTGGTTGTTTACAAAAGCATTTTGATATTGGTAAAGGCGTCTGCAACTTTTGTGAAGCATCAAATCACTGGCATATTAACTATCAAAACATGTTTATGACTGCATAAATGTATTATTGCTTTAAAAAAAAAAGTCACATATTGTGCATTTCTATCATACACAATTTGTACTGAAGCCATCTAAAAAGTTCATATCAATAAGTTTTCTCTTTGCACTTTCATTTCGAGGGTGCAGATTGCATAAGTTTTATTAATATGTATAACTTTATTTATTTTATTAATGACTATAACTTTATATATATAGTTAAAAAATATGTACCATTTTCCCAAGTGTATATAACTACTACTGTAAGAAAATATCAGAATTCAGAACATACTTTCTGTATTATCTTCGCTTGAACTGAGCCGATCTAATCCTGTTTATATGAATTGACCCTGCTCCCGTCCAGGTTTGACCTAGCAGAACTGTTGCTATGACAACAACTCTCGGATCAGCTTTGAAGAACGAAACGATCCTGGATCATGTCAAATCGTCAATATCCAAATCCAGCTAACTGAGTAATCCACGTACGAAGAACGGACCCCTGCTCACCATTTCTGTTTGTTGTCAAAACTGACAACTGGAGGGGGCGTGGTTAAATATGTTAGCCCCGCCTAATACCTCAGACAGACCTGAGATCTGAGATTTGAACTGAAAACAATTGATTTTTAGATTTGAATTAAAGATTACAAGGGCAAACCATTCTTTTTCTTAATGACATGCACAGATGAATTGTTCACCAAGAATCTAGCAATGTAAGCTAACAAAATCAGTATGGTTAGTACTTTAAAATCACGATTTATCTTTTCATTTTATTTTTAGGTCATCAAATCGCTGTAATTTTTAATCAGAAATATCCACAATGTCTTTCCTTCTCTGATTGGTGGTTACTGGCATGAGGCAACCTGTCAATTATCATGAGATCCACCAATAGCAAACCATTACAAAGTCCATTTAAAGCATTCTGTTTTCATTCATTCATTTTCTTGTCAGCTTAGTCCCTTTATTAATCCGGGGTCACCACAGTGGAATGAACCGCCAACTTATCCAGCAAGTTTTTACGCAGCGGATGCCCTTCCAGCCGCAACCCATCTCTGGGAAACATCCACACACACATTCACACACAAACACTAGTACACTACGGACAATTTAGCCTACCAAATTCACCTGTACCGCATGTCTTTGGACTGTGGGGGAACCGGGGCACCCGGAGGAAGCATTCTGTTTGAAAGATCTAATTCTACAAAACTGTTTGCCAAGCTTAAGATTAAATTCAATATTGGGAAATCACCAATAAAATTAAACAACAGTTGTCTCTTTAATTTAATTACTAAACGTTTAAATCCTTTTTTTTCTTTAGGATGCCCAAGCTAATGTGTATCATGACACTAACCTCATTTATGGCTTATTCTATTTACGCGTGTTACACGTCATCTGATCCCGCTGCTCTTTTAAATTAATTCCCAACTTGATGGTAAATCACCTCCCAAAACGACAGCGACTCTTTGTTTACGAGTTTGTGGGCATTCGAGTAGAGCTGTCATGTGATGTGCATTTGACAGGACTGTTTCATACTGATTACAAAAGCAGAGTACATTTATTTTCAAGTGTATTAGGTTAATTTAAAAGAGATTTCAAGCTTTATGCGGATTTATTTCTCATGTCTGTGAGGCAAGTATTCGATGAGATTCCAGTGCATTTGCTGAGCCTAGAGGAATCATAATGAAGCTGCAGAAACTGTCATAAACACACGCCTGGTCCACTCTCCTCCTCCGGAGAATCCTCAGTCTATATCAATCAACGATTGGCTCCTGTATTAGAAGGCGGGGCTTCATTCTGCATATTGATCATTACACTTTTCCCCATTCAAAACTAAATGAGTGACGTGTTTTGTGTATTCCACAGTCTTTTACCACAAGCATCCAATCAATTCAAGAATAAACTAAATCAAGCCGCACCATCTTTTGCACACATTTCAAGGAACCGTTTCATAATTTTACAAACAGCTAATGATGTTCTAGCTTGTGTTAGTTGCCCTCACCTTGTGATGGATCAGCAAACCAAAAACTTGAGAGAGAAGCTCGGCCACCTGGATCTAGAAAACAACAGCGTTCACTCTTTAATGAGAGGTTTTCACAAATATATGAAGATATTTTAAATATTGCTTCTTACATATAAAGCTTTAAATAATCGAGCTCCTGTTTATCTAACCAAACTTCTGTCTCGCTACAATCCAACTCCCTCTTTAAGATCTCAAAACTCAGGGCTTCTGGTAGTACATAGAATAGCAAAGTCGAGTAAAGGAGGTCAAGCCTTCTCATTTATGGCTCCTACACTCTGGAATAGCCTTCCTGATAACGTCCGAGGCTCAGACACACTCTCTCAGTTCAAAACTAGATTAAATAAGGGTGTCACGATCCTCCAAATCCTCGATTCGATTACCTTTTCGATTCTTAAGTCACGATTCGATTCGATTATGAATAATTAATTAATTAATAACGAATTAATTATTTGTAGCCTACCGTTTAAACTACCTGACCTGCATGGTCTTTGTTTTACCCATAACCAAATCATAAAGCAAAGGAATAAAGTTACACACATAATTACCAAAATCTATCTATTGAATTAATCAATCTATTAAAGAAACGTTGGCTAGAATTCTGCATTTTAGGCTTAAATTATAGCGAGACATATGTTATACATAGCAGATGAACCGAGACTGCATCAGATCGCGAAGCAGATCAATGTTGATCATTTCCGCACTGACAGCTCGAAAAAAAGAACAAAACAACTGGCCTAACACAACATATTATAAGATTAAAACATGAAAAAATTATCAAATAGTAACTTCGGTCAATTTTCCAAACGGATAAACCGTGATCAGGCTGGATAAACAGCTCTCGGTAATATTTCATATTTCGCATTTACCGGTAAGAATGACATCTCGCCCTGCTCATCATTCTCTCGTCATATAGCCGTATATATGGCTATTACACGATCATAATACACTGTGATATAGCCTGGGTCGTTAGTTCGTTGAATTGTTTTGCTTTCTCACTACAATTGATCCGCTCAGTAGGGCAGATACAGTCTCATTCAGGCGATCTCGGACTGATTGATTTGGCGCAGAAGCGAGCGCAACTGCTGGATATATGCCAAACAAACCGTGCTAACGGGGCGGTTCCGAAACAAACGTCTATGTGTTGTATTTGCACACAATTGACAGACAGTCGCAGCACACAGCTCTGGCTTGATCTGGCAAGCAACAAGGCAGCACTGTGCACTGACCCGAGTGTCTCGCACGCTGGCCCCAGGCCATCGGGCAGTCCTTACTGTCGAGCCCTGAAAGTTTAAGCCCTGTCGACGGGTCTCCTGCGTCTGCACAGTTTAACAAGCACTTCAAAAAGCCTGCTTTTCCCGCTTGGTAAGCCAAGCTGACGTTACATTGGGGGCGTGGCAGCATCGACGATTCTATTTTTTGATTCGATAATCGACATTGAGCATAAATTTCGATCGATTTTGATTTTGACACCCTTATTAGTAAAGCATACACTCAATGCATTACTTAGTGGGTTTCCACACTGGTTTCTGCATCTTGTTTGTATACACTATAAGCGGCAGCTACGCTAATTATTCTCTTTATTCTTCATTTCCACCTGGGGATACTCATCCTGAGGCCCTCAGACTATGCAGAGTCACTGATTGACCCAAGACCATCGACGAAATGATCCCAAGGTTTCCATAATCCTGGACCAGGCCGTATCCTGAGCAGCTGCTGTGGTGGTCATGCATGAGTGGAGAGCATGAGACTGATTCCTGTGACACCCCAGGGACAGACGAGTCTTCGCTGAGGCCCAGCTTCGAGCCTCCGCCACAGAGACTGCAGCTCTGCACAAGACGTTTGGCCAGCGGAGAAATTAAAATGGTCGTGCCGAACTGAGTGGATTCTCTCAAGATTTATTTTTTAACTTTCGCCAATTTGTGAAGTTTTTTTTCCCTCTCCGCTGTCGCCACTAGCTTGCATGGTTCGGGATCTGTAGAGGTGTGCATCGATGGATTTGCTCTCCAGTGTTTAGACCCTCAGTAGTGACTATTAAACCCCACTGAACTGAGCTGAACTACACTGTTCCAATTTACTATGATCTTTTATTTGAAGCTGCTTTTGACACAATCTACATTGTAAAAGCCCTATACAAATAAAGCTGAATTGAATTTTCAACATTAATAATCAGAAGTATTTCCTGAGCAACAATTCTTCATATTAGACCAATTCCTGAACGATCATGATCTGAAAATGCTGAATATTTAGCTTTGCATCACAGAAATAAATGACATTTTGAAATATATATATATGTTAAAGAGAAATGTTGTTTTAGATTTAAATAATATTTCAGAATTTTTACTGCATTTTTAATCAAACATATAAAGCCTTGTTGAGCATCATTTTATTTATTCCAAGCTTGATAAGAAGTCTGTAGATCTATATTAAATATGGAAGTGATGGAGGTGTGTAACTCTACCTTCCCCAGAGAGAGCGTGTCACTGAGTGCACGATCCACCAGTTCAGCCATTTCCTTCTTGAATCGCATCACATCCTGGCACTCGTTGGCCCGGGCGTGATGGAGGATCAGCTCCGCTACTCGCTCGCCCTAAAACATAAGAATATGACGACCAGTGCTAAAAATGTATCAAATCAACTTAAACAAAGGTATTTTAAGGTAAAGTAGAGTATTGTTCAAATATTAGCTCATGTTAGTAAATTACCTACAACACTAATAAAATGCTATAATACTATATATGATGTGTGTGTGTGTGTGTGTGTGTGTGTGTATATACAGTATATATATATATATATATATATATATATATATGAGCAATTCCATGAAAATGTCAACCTTGCCATGAAAAGAAAAATGTTTTCACCAAAATAGCAAAACCGTTTCTACATTTTTTGCGCAGGCAAGTGTTTTACAGTACTTTAAAAATACTTAAAAATGTCGCTGTCAATGTTTTCAAACTATTATATTTGATTTACCAAAGTCAAACAAATGACAATTTCACATCCGTCACATCCATAACGAAAAAGTGTCACATCCATAACAAAGCTTCTCCCTCAAAAATGAAAAATGTCAAAATAAAATAAAATCAATCAGTTTTGTTCTATAAAGAGCCAACTCTTATCCTTTTGTTGAGCATTATTTATTTTGGGTTGTGCAGTTTAATTCACAGAATTTCTAGTAAATATGTTGTATACTGTAAACTCGCAGACTTTTTTGTCACATCCATAACGCTTGTTTATTTTCCTCATTTAAAGTATAAAAATGTTCACAGATTGAATTTTTTTGATCCCATAACTCTGTGGTTAGTTGTTTTGGAAAATATAAACAGATGGTTCAATATAATGTTAACGTATACTTTCTCTGCGAATTTATGTTTTGAATTTTTACTGCAAATGTCACATCCATAACGCTGGAATCAGCCATATATATATATATATGAGTAATATCACACGAGTAGCAGTGCGATATGGCTGCCTTAGTGCCCCCACCAGTGCCGATATACAGCCATATCGCACTGCTACGAGTGTGATATTGCGTTTATACAACAGTTTGACGACATAATTGTGCATATAAAAACAAAATCAAACATGGAGAGTCTCAAAAACCCTTTTGTATGAGGAGCTACTTTCTTCCGCATTGGATTCAAATCATAAGCTGACAGTTAAACAGCTGTTAAAAGCATCTTTTAAAGTTTAGTGTCTGTAGTGTCTGCTTTTAGCTAGCTGTATGTGTGCGAAGTGATACACAAAGAGTAAAGAGGCTGTAGGAGTTCTGATATTGCAGAATATTGCACGGCTTTCAGCCAATCAGATTTGAGAACCAGACAGAACTTTTGTACAATATATATATATACATAAATAAAATATACTGCATAATGCATGCTTAAAAGAAAAAAAGAAATGTATTAATAAAACATTATTAAACACCATAATACTTTTTAAAATGCTAATGACAAAATACTGTCCAAAAGCATGCCTGTATGTACACTTTTAATAATAAAAATAATAACAAGCAATGATAAAAAGCATTTACACCGAAAGCACAAGTAAAAAAAAGTATTGTAAAACTTCAGTATTGTATATCCTCTTATACACACTTAAGAACTTTCTTCACAAAAAGAATGTAAAGTTTTATTACTTAGTATAAGTAGGTCAATTAAAGGGAACCTATTATGCATTACCGAGATGCAAAAGGTATCTGATGTCCCTAAAGCAGAGGTCGCGTTTCCATCATTGACGGATTTTTTTTCAGCAGTGACGGAAAAATCTGAAGGTGATCCGTCATTTTAATCCATCGGATTATGCTGAGGGTGATCTATTGCAGTGGTTCTCAAACTGTGGAACGTGTACCACTAGTGGTACGCAGGGAAATGAAATATGTCATGTACATGCGACACACATTTCAAAAACTTATCAAAAATGATGTATATAATATGCCATATTAGACAAATAGCCTATATTTCTGAGGTAATCTGCCACATTTTTTAACTGTGCAGAGTTTTAGCTGCTTAACTGGGCCTACTACGCTACTGTATTTCAATATTGCTCATTTTGGTGGTACTTGAAGAGACAATTTTTTTCTGAGGTGGTACTTGATGATAAAAGTTTGAGAACCACTGATCTATTGTATTTTGTAGCTAACTGTAATTCACACTCTTGTCCAGCTGATGGCGATTACCCTTGTTTTGTCTCCTCTTTGTCACCGCTGCGTACAGTTGCAAAAATATCACAGCAGCTGAGTGTGAGAGGTTTCTAGATGTGATATAAATAATAAAGGGGAAAAAAGAGGAAGTGATGCAGTGGACGATGAAGAACAAACAGACAAAAATCCTCAGTCGCCAACAGCAGTTACGAGCTAACCCAGTGGTAGCAAGGACGTCAGGTGCTTTGGAGTGCGTTGTGAGCACTACCGAACGCAGAGGGGTGCAGAAGAAGCTTGTGCTGTAGTATGTTTTCCCGGTGAAACGAGTGCTTGCAGGATCAGGAAATCCCACATTCGGAAAATCTGAGAGATCACAGCCTTAGGAGAAATGTTTCCCAACTACAAAATGCTGGCTGAAGTGGTCTTTGGTCACAAGTCGTCGACCTTCCGAGGCAAAGACACAGAATTTAATGACAACTGCCTCTGCATCAGTCTCTCTTGATGCGTTTGATTACGCACAGGCCAGCACCCAGTTCAGGTCGACGCAGAAGGAAGATATGAGTTACGGCAGATAGTACTTTTTGTTAATTTGTCAAATAAATTTACATTTAGTCATTTAGCAGACGCTTTTATCCAAAGCGACTTACAAATGAGGACAAGAAAGCAACTTACACAACTATAAGAGCAACAATGAATAAGTGCTGTAGGCAAGTTTCATGTCTGTAAAGTCTAAGAAGGAAAGTATTAGTACTTTTTATTTTATTTATTTTTTTTGGTACAGTTAGTGTGACATCCAGATCGGCAATTGCAGATTAGGAAGTGAAGTGGAGACTAAATAGTTGAGTTTTTAGTCGTTTCTTGAAGACAGCGAGTGACTCTGCTGTTCTGATGCAGTTAGGGAGTTCATTCCACCAACTGGGCAGATTGAGCGTGAGCGTTCGCAAAAGTGATTTCTTCCCTCTTTGGGATGGAACCACGAGGCGAAGCAAATAAATAAATGGATAATTTAGCATATATGCTCGTCGTGCAAGTTCATTATTAAAATTTGAATTAAAAAAAAACGATTAGAAAGTCTGCAAATTAAATAACGATCAATAATAGGAAATTTTACAACCCTCTCCGTCAAAATGACGAACAATGAGAAAGTCTAACGCGACCTCTGCCATAGAGTGTGTGTGTGAAGCTCAAAATACCATACAAATAAAGTTTTATGACTCCTTAAAACTGACCCTTTTAAGCTTTGATTTTAATTGTGCTACAAATGCCTGTGTGTCAGCATAGTGGCAGATTCAAAAACAAGACTGATGTCTAATGCTAATGAGGGAGAGATGGTCACTAGGGGGCACATACAAAGGCAGGATGTCAATCAAAGTGAATGTTGCAGCCCATGTTTACCTGTCTGAGGACAACAGCGGTAAAGACAGCTCTGAAGTTGCGCTGATCTGCTTCACTGAGCTGCGCTACAATACCAGCGTCCAGCAGCACCAGCTGAAGAGATGGAGGAGTCGCCCTCATGCTGACCACCACAGTGTCCCACAGGTCCGTCAGCGTGGCCCTGTCCTCAGATTCCTCCCCACAGCTGCCCTGAACCAGGATATTCCCCGGGTGAAGATCACCATGGACGAAATTATCCACAAACACCTGCAGAGACGAACACAAGTTAGATCTCGACCTCTAGCACTCTTGGTAGCTGAAAAAAACAAGACTGTAATGAATTTATTTTTCTCAAAATATTACAAATCTTTTGGACAATAAACAGGATTTTGAGTCCAATGGTTTGAGATAAATAAATAAAAATTTGACCAGATTGTTGTTTCCCAGCGAAACACAAGTATTGTTGAGATAAAGCTGTAAAAAATTGTTTTGTTTTTTTAAATCAATCAATTAATAAATTAATAAATTTTCTTGCAAAATCCTGTAGGGAGTGAATAGCAAACAAATCACAGTTTTGTATAAAACAAAATCTTTTTAAAATATTTAGCAAGTGTTGCTTAACAGTGGAACGACATTCTTTATAAGATGTCCTTTTATGTTTTTCTTCTGGAGAAAGTCTTATTTATATAAAAAAAAAAAAGATATATATATATATATATATATATATATATATATATATATATATATATTTATTTATTTATTTATTTACATATATATATATTTACAAAAAATTTCAAAAATGCTAAGGACAATATTATTAACTTATGTATAACCTAACTTATTTCTTATAAATTAGTTATCACAACTATTATCTCTAAAAGTATTGAAAAAAATTTCTCTGTTAGACAGCACTTGGGAAATATTTGAAAAATAATTGCACAAAAAAAAAGTACAATTACTGGCACCCCTATGAAGTAATATAAGCAAATTATTCATATACCATTGATATTTCAGCTTTTAGTGTGCATTCCTGCGAGCAGCAGCTCATTTGCATTTAAAGAGACTTTGGCTTCCACTAAAAAAAATGAATATTACAACATGATTAAATAAATTAATAATGTAATTTTCAGTTGAAACTTCAGACACAAATTCTGGGTGGCGGAGCTTCAGAACACACCCACTGATTGCATAACCATCACAGACCAATGGCAGCTCAAAGGTGTTTAGGACCAAAATGAACTCCCAATAAAGTTTAACCAAGCTTAAAAGTCAAACTGCTGAAACGAGTTCAAAAAGAGCTTAGTTTTGGCCGGATTTTGTTCGAAATTACTTTTTTTTTTTATAAGTGTACTGGGGCCTTTACTCACCATTTTTAGGAGTAGATCGACACCCATGCGTGCGATTCTCTGCTTGACTCCTGCTGGGATGTTAGAGCTCAGGTACTTGGAGATGGGTTCACTTTCCTAAATGAGCAACAGAAAAAGTAGAAAGGAAAAAGTAAAAATGGTATCTAACAACCTAAATAATCACAAATATAGCCATTCTCACCTCATATGTTTCTACCAGCACAGTTCTAGTGACGAACGGTCTGAGCGGCGTCGGAAACTTCACATATTCCAGATCTTTAAAGTTCTTCTGGAACTTTTCAATGTTCTGGGCCTCAAACCGTAGATCAATCTGCATCAGAAATATTATCAATTTTTAGTTATTTTAGCCTACACATAAATAACTAATAAATAATATTAATAAAAAAATATATAGCCATTTATATTAAATACTATAGTCTTTTAACCATACTATAGTAAAGCACTAGAATTTTTGGTGATTCTAAAGTTGCTATGGCAACACACCAACTATTGTATTTAATCTGTTGTGATGATTTTATAGTTGCTATGGTAACACAACAACTATAGTATTTAATCTGTTGTGATGATTTTATAGTTGCTATGGTAACACAACAACTATAGTATTTAATCTGTTGTGGTGATTCTATAGTTGCTATGGTAAAACGACAACTATAGTATTTAATCTGTTGTGGTGATTTCATAGTTGCTATGGTAACACATTAACTATAGCATTTAATCTGTCGTGGTGATTCTATAGTTGCTATGGTAACACATCAACAATAGTATTTAATCTGTTGTGGTGATTCTATAGTTGCTATGGTAACACAACAACTACAGCATTTAATTTGTTGTGGTGATTCTATAGTTGCTATGGTAACACGTCAACTATAGTATTTAATCTGTTGTGGTGATTCTATAGTTGCTATGGTAACACAACAACTATAGCATTTAATCTGTTGTGGTGATTCTATAGTTGCTATGGTAACACAACAACTATAGTATTTAATGTGTTGTGGTGATTCTATAGTTGCTATGGTAACTCAACAACTATAGTATTTAATCTGTTGTGGTGATTTTATAGTTGCTATGGTAACACAAAAACCATAGTATTTAATCTGTTGTGGTGATTTTATGGTTGCTATGGTAACACAACAACTATAGCATTTAATCTGTTTTAATCTGTTGCAGTGATTCTATAGTTGCTATGGTAACACGACAACGATAGTATTCGATCTGTTGTGGTAATTTCATAGTTGCTATGTTAACACATCAACTATAGTATTAAATCTGTTGTGGTGATACTATAGTTGCTATGGTAACACATCAACTATAGCATTTAATCTGTTGCAGTGATTCTATAGTTGCTATGGTAACTCAACAACTATAGTATTTAATGTGTTGTGGTGATTCTATAGTTGCTATGGTAACTCAACAACTATAGTATTTAATCTGTTGTGGTGATTTTATAGTTGCTATGGTAACACAACAACCATAGTATTTAATCTGTTGTGGTGATTTTATGGTTGCTATGGTAACACAACAACTATAGCATTTAATCTGTTTTAATCTGTTGCAGTGATTCTATAGTTGCTATGGTAACACGACAACGATAGTATTCGATCTGTTGTGGTAATTTCATAGTTGCTATGTTAACACATCAACTATAGTATTTAATCTGTTGTGGTGATACTATAGTTGCTATGGTAACACATCAACTATAGCATTTAATCTGTTGCGGTGATTCTATAGTTGCTATGGTAAAACGACAACGATAGTATTTAATCTGTTGTAGTGATTTCATAGTTGCCATGGTAACACATTAACTATAGCATTTAATCTGTTGTGGTGATTCTATAGTTGCTATGGTAACACATCAACTATAGTATTTAATCTGTTGTGGTGATTCTTTAGTTGCTATGGTAACAAATCAACTATAGTAATATAAGGAATACTGTAGTTTTCTAAACCTATAGATTATATTATACTACAATACACCACAGTTTACTGTAGTAAAAACTAAAGTATACTACAGTATTTATTATCAGTTGACAATAGTAAATACTACTGTGTGTTGGGGCATTTATTAACAAACTGTTTAAATACTATAATATATACAGTACAATACATTTTACTATCGTATGGTTCTAAAACACTATAGTAATAACTACAGTATTTCTATATATTTTAATAGAAATATATAGTTCATAAAGGCACCTGTTTGGTCATGAGCTTCTGGAACTCCTCCACAATCTCCGGCAGGCTGAGCCACTTCACACCCGGCAAACAGTTGAGGAATAAACTTCCAGCTTTCATTAAGATCAGGTCGATCTGCACCTGCTGCCGGATTCCTGGATGAAGAACCTGGATGAAGAGCACACATCTTCTTAGAGAATATAGGAATTTTATATATATAAAACATTTTTTAAGTGTAATTTATTGCATTGATGCCAAGCAAAATTTTGTTTCATTCAGCTTGGCATCACTGCAATAAATTACACTTAAAAATATTTTGATATATATAAAAAAGACATTTTAAATTGAACTAATATTTGCAAAGTATTACGGTTTTTATTAGATTTTTAGTGTAAATTATTCTTGTGATTTCAAGCTAAATTTTCAGCATTATTAATTCAGTCCTTAGTGATAACCGTTTTGCTGGAAATTGCTGCTCAAGAAACATTTATGATTATTATTAAAATACATATAAAAAAAGACATTTTAAATTTAATTAATATTTCACAATATTATGTTTTTTATTGTATTTTTTTAATAAATGCGGCCTAGGTAAGCAGATTTGTCTTTTCAAAACAAGTTAATGCTGTAGGATTTATTTATTTATGCAATATTTTTTTTTCTAATTGCATGCACTTTTTAATTTGCTGGTTTATCCTTTTAATAAGTGTAATAAAACAATAAATAAAAACTTGGAAATAACTTTATTATTGAGAACATTTTCAAAAGAACTTTATTGTTAACAAAATTCTAAAAAGAACTAATTATTAGGAAGATTCTTAAAAGAACTTTATCATTAAGAACATTCTAGAAATAATTAAAATATTAAGAACAATCTAAAAAAAAACTCTTTTGAGTGACAAAAACATTTTTTCCAATGTAAAACACCTGGAAAAGTTTCAAGTTAATTTGTAATACCATCAGTTCTAATAATTATATAACTTTGAGAGTGTGTACTACAAGCAATTCTTGAGAAACTAACTAGATAACTCTTAATATGCAAAAGCGGTTCTACCTTAATTGCAACAGGAATCAGCCGCTCTTCCTCCAAATGTTCACCTTGACCAGATCTCTCTCCGAATTCCTTCATCTTCCCATCCGTCATCTCATCCTCATCTCTATTAATCTCCCAAAAATCACTCAATGCTCCTCCCAGTCCAGGGATCTCCCAGGCTTCCAGAAGATTCTTCTTCTCCAGTTCCTCCAGCAGCTTCTGGAAAGCCGGATCTTGGATGTTTGCCACTTTAGCTTTGGCGCGGTACACCTGAGCCACGCATCCCGAACCTACCGGCTCCTTACTGTCAAACACAAACATCTGCCTCCATCCCTCCCCAAACGCCCGCTTCAGACACAGTTTAGTGTGGGACCAGGAGTGAGCCTTCACCCGCACGTGAAGCCTGGAGAAGCGGTCACAGAAGTCTTGGGAGAAGATATCCCGTCTTGTGCTGGCCCATTGGCCCAGTTTGATAAATGTTGGTCCGGAGGTTTCGGTGACCCAAAGTAGGCAATCCAACCAATGGGACGCCCAACGCTGGGATAGTAAAGTCAATGGGTATAGAAGTAAAAGAGGGCTGAATTTGAGAAGAAGCACCAATGCGCGGAGTCCCAATCGCAGGACGAATACTAGCCTGGAACAAAAGCACACAAATTAGAGATGAGTCGACCCACAGGAAATCTGCGCATGCAGAATTCTGCCGATTTTTAGCCCATCATTGATTCTGTTTATTGTGTAAATGTGTGTACATTCATAAGTATTTATTTTTTAAATTAACTTCAGAAATACTATTGACTATTATGAAAACATTTATATGATTTATTCACAATACAGTTTGTAAAGTAATATTTTCAGTCTTTTAGTAGAGATTATTTAAGAGACTTGCTTGGTTGACCACAGTGGTTCTCAAACTGTAGTACACGTACCACTAGTGGTACTCAGGCTTCCTTCTAGTGGTAACGTAGACTAACCATATTCCGTACACAACGATATTCCGTACAGATTACCTTTTAACGCTAATCTCTGAATAAATACTTATGGGTCGTAGTCAAGCTATATATCTGTGTAATCTTTAATTCTCACTCTTTCAGCCCCAACCACAACAGAGACCTTAACTATATGTTTCCGAGTGAATTCAGTAAGTTTGCTACGTCCACCTAATGCGCTTGAAAATAGACAGTGGGCTTAAAGTGCGAGTGTCGCTTTTGCATTTAACTTATGCATCACACTGTATTACAGTCTTTATGAAGTGAATATTATGTTCTCACAAATTGTTAAATAACTTATCTTTTGTTGAATAAATGCTTTGAAATAGGGATGTTTAAACGTCAGTTGTGGGTGATGACCGCCAGAGAGCCTGAGAGACTGGCTGCAAACACTGTTTGGATCCTCTTTTTGCAGTGATGATGTTTGTATTCATAAAAGGTCAGTCAAGTCAGCGTTAATGTGCATTAATTTAATGTTTTAATATTTAAAATTGTCAAGCTGTAATAAAATAAACATGATAGAAAAAGTAAATGATTTTGAAGCTATTTCATTACAAACTTTCATAAAAGAGTTATAATAATAATAATAATAATTCCTTACATTTATATAGCGCTTTTCTGGACACTCAAAGCTTTACACAATGGGGGGGAATCTCCTCATCCACCACCAGTGTGCAGCATCCACTTGGATGGCCAGACCGCACACCACACACCAGCTGATTGGTGGAGAGGAGACAGAGATGAAGCCAATTGAATATGGGGATGGTTAGGAGGCCATGATGGACAGAGGCCAGTGGGCAGACTTGGCCAGGATGCTGGGGATAAACCCCTACTCTTTTCGAAGGACATCCTGGGATTTTTAATGACCACAGAGAGTCGGGACCTCGGTTTAACGTCTCATCCGAAAGACGGCGCTCACTGAGCAGTATAGCATCCCCGTCACTATACTGGGGCATTAGGACCCACACAGACCGCAGGTTGGGCGCCCCCTTCTGGCCTCACCAACACCACTTCCGGCAGCAACCTAGCTTTCCCATGTGGTCTCCCATCCAGGTACTGACCGGGCGCAGCCCTGCTAAGCTTCAGTGGGCGACCATGTGAGAGTTGCAGAGAGCTAGCTGCCGCCTAAAATATTTAATATATCATTAACTTCAAATTAAACGCAATAACAGTATATTCTGACATAAGATTTTAATAAGACTTCAACAAATGCCCATTTTGCCAGTAAATTAAAGTTATGCACCCTGTGCGGAACACTATTTTAGTCGTGTACAGCAGGGGTTCCCAAACTTTTCAGCCCGCGACCCCAAAAATAACAATGCCAGTGACTCGCGACCCCCAATATCCTCTGAGGTGGTTATAAATACAGAAACCTTGCATGCAATGACTCAGACACACCAATTAAATTTGTGTCAGTGCTTTAAATGTGCTAGAAAGTATAACCTGATGTTATAAAATCAAAATGCATCTAAAGCTATTGCTGCCTTTATTATAATGTAATTACCCCAGGGGTCACAATTCAATAGAACAAGTAACTATAAGCTACTATAGTAACTATATAGTATATAGTAACTATAAACGACTATTTTTATTTTCAGTATAGTTATGGATAAAATATGTTAATTCTTATGGTTTAATAAAAATAAATATTTTTGGAAATCACGAGGCGACCTCCCTTCATTGCCCTGCGACCCCTGGGGGGGTCCCGACCCCCACTTTGAAAACCACTGGTGTACAGATCATCGTTAATACCTATCATCTTCCGTACACATGCGAAGGTGGTACTTTTCCCATCTTTTCTCAAAAACTACTGGTCCAAAAGACATCAATCAAGATTTAGATTGTGCAATAGATATTCCCCCAGAGAATGAACACACAAGCATGCTTATCTGGCTTTCAATGACGGAGGAGTGCGCTGCATAGCGAAAAGTGTACGGAACATGGTTAGTCTATGTTACACGCAGGGATATTTTGAAAAATGTTGGAAATCTATCACCTACAACAGAAGGCAATGGTTACAGGTTTCCAACATTTTTCAAAATATATCAGTTATTGTGTTTAAAAGAAGAAACAAAATCATGAAAGTTTGGAACAACTTGAAGGAGATTAAAAATAACTTTACTCAGCTTCATTCAGCAAATGTAGTAGAGTAAAAAGTACATTATCTACTTTTGAAAAGTAGTGAAGGTTTACTAAAATGAATATACTCTTATGAAACACAGACACTACAAATACGCACACACGTACAGCAGTGATGTAAAAACAATTAGTGTCGACCACTGCTAACCTGTGGATCTGAACTCCGGCCACTGATTTCCTCTCTGTGGGGTTTTGATGATTCTTGAGGGATTCTGGTCCGGCGGCGTAAATGGTCCCACATGCAGTCCAGCAGAACAATCCCACTTTTGGGGTTTGGGATAAAAGACGAGTGGCTTTAACAAAAAACACTCTGCGGGATTGAGTTGGAATCGGTAACCTGCGCGCAAAGCACTTAAAGCTATGCAGCAGGTGCCTTGTGCAAAATACAGACATTTTAAATGAAGCCAAATGTAGACATTATATAATGAATTAACAGCGTTCAGTTCTGTTGCTTTCTTCTGTTAAGGTTTGAAATGATAAAGTATGGATTAATAAACACATTCACGTTTGCTAATATACAATTCTGCAGTGTTTATAGTCAGCATCGAGCATGCTCACAATCTTTAAATGACAATATGAGTCACAGAAATGTTCAGAACACGCAGGTCAACATGTACATATGCATCCATATTCTCATTATCTTGCGTTTTTTCGTCGACAGATGTCCGCGGCTGTGCTATTTAGTGTCATTTTCGCGTTGTTTCTCCACATTTAGGCTTGAATTCGGTTAACGTTAAATTCATTCAAACATTTGTTATGAATGTTACTGCTGCTCTCCGCCGGTTCGCCTGATAAATCGCTCCGTGTGATTGCTAACGTTAGTTCCGCATCTCGGTGGAAAGGGAAAAAGGGGGCAGTAACGTTAATCGATATTGATTTGTTGATTAAAAAACTAGTATTTATTTAGAACAAAGTTAGTTCAATAAAATAAACACACGAAATCATGAAATGTAAGGAATTATTGATTTGATTGAATCTGTATTTCGTTAAAATCTGTAGAAATAGGTTCTTCTTTTGGTGTTGTTGCATATTTTGTTTTGATATGACATTTACCTTTAGCATTATTATTAATATATGCAAATTATTAATGTTAAACACAATGGCTATATATTTTAATATTTTAGTGTTAAAATATATGATTTTATTACAGGTTGATGTCCTATAATTTGCTTTTAATAATGTTAACGAGAATTTCTAAACATTAGAATATTTATGTTAAAAGGGTTTGCTTTATTGCAGTTTTGGGGTTTGTTTAGACTTTTGATATTTACTTTTTTACATTTACTACTACCACTACTACTATTAATCAATATTATTAATCAATATAAATATAATATTGCAAAAAGTAAATTTTTTTTTTAAAGTTACATTAATAAAACCTTTATATATATATATTTTTTTTTTTGTTCAGGCAAAACGGTGGCGCAGTAGGTAGTACTGTCGCCTCACAGCAAGAAGGTCGCTGGTTTGAATCTCAGCTGGGTCAGTTGGCGTTTCTTTGTGGAGTTTGCATGTTCTCCCTGCGTTCGCGTGGGTTTCCTCCGGGTGCTCTGGTTTCCCCCACAGTCCAAAGACATGCGGTACAGGTGAATTGGGTAGGCTATTGTCCGTAGTGTATGAGTGTGAATGAGTGTTTGTGGATGTTTTCCAGAGATGGGTTGCAGCTGGAAGGGCATTGGCTGCATAAAAACACATGCTAGATAAGTTGGCAGTTCATTCCACTGTGGGGACCTCGGATTAATAAGGGAACTAAGCCAAAAATTAAATGAATGATTGAATGTTCTGTTCAAGTAATTATGTTCACTATATCACTATTACCACCCATTTTCATCGTTTCCCTTTGGCCAGTAGATGTCGCTAAAATGACTGTTTGCTGAGTCTATAAGTTATTATAAGTATATATTTGAGTTTACTTAGGGGGACTCTTTTACTTAATTTTCCTCACTTCGACATCAAAAATGCACATAATAGAGCAGGTATAAATGAAGATGACACCCACATAAAAATACTTCAGTAATTTATAGTAGTATTTTAGAAATTTGCCATAGTAAAGTGTATTATACTGTAGTAGGCTATTATATTATTTACAACTCTACACAGAGTTCTTAAACCTTAAATTCCAGCACTTTTCAAACACTTTTAAGGTGCATTTGTCGCCATTTTTAACATGGTACAGCATACATATATATATATATATATATATATATATATATATATATATATATATATATATATATATATATATCTGCTGTACTTTTTCACATCTAAATCCATTGTGCCATTTAAAAAACACAATATAACATTTCAGCTTACATTGTTGAATACTTTGGAGCATATATTTATTGGGATAGTTTACCTAAAAATGCAAAAAAAATAATAATAAACCAATCAATAAATAAAAAAGATCAGTTATTGGATGAGATATCTTTTAAAGTTTCTCTTACCTAAAGCTGATATCTCAAAAAAAAAAAAAAAAAAAATCTTACAGTCAGATTTGTTTTGTGTGTACCAAACTTTCATGAGCAGTCGTTCATTATATTTCATGTGCATTGCTGTTAAAAATTCATGTCACAAATTGAATCCTTATGAGTCTGAGAATATTCTTGCTGCAAATTAATGAACTGTTCCTATGTCAACTGTTTTGAAAATCAGTCACCAAATATGGAAACTATAGTTTGTAAGCTTTCATCAAGATTACTTTTATTATTATTACTTTTTATTTATTTACAGGCATTGCAGGCTTTGTTTACTGCAGCAAGTTGACACGTCAGCTGTTTTAAACTATTCCTGAGCGATGCGTTTGGCGATTTTAGGTGCAAATAAGCATTCTGTGTGAATGTCTCCTAAATCTGCACATCCCATGAACAAATTTCGAGCCCTGCTATTTCAAATTCAAGCAGGTTCAACCACTTTGTCCTAAATCTAAATCTATTTTTTTAACCTTGAAAACACTGTATTAAAAATCAAGCATTTTCCAGGATTTCCAGCACCCGAACGAACCCTGTCTACAGCATAACTGTAGCATTATTAACCATTGTGAAACGGCGAACTAATGTAGTATAATGTACTCTAGTTTCTACTACAGTAAACTGCGCTGTACTACAGTGTAATATAGTTGTAGAAAGCTACAGTTCACTGAAAAAAATATTCAAAGATGATTCCTTGGATTTACTAAATCTTTTTTACGTTAAGTGGCTGTAAACAATTTAATTGTGTTGAATTTAAACAAACAAATTAAGTTGAACATTACTGAATTTAATTTGTTTAAATTCAACACAAATAAATAGTTTGCAACAGTTCTGCATGCAACACTTTTTTTCAGTGTTGTTTGTTTATATTATATATTATATTTCTATAGTAATATGGATATGAATTTAGTCATTTCGGTGCCCTAAGCAATTCCAGACACAACAGTCCTAATATGCACCCTTTGTATTTTTACTTAGTTTTTTTGTATTATTCGTTTATTTCCTATATCAAGTCGATCTTTTTTTCATTATTATTTTTTTTTTGACTAAAATAATAAACTATTTCGTTATGAGGGACAAATTTGCACAAATGTAATAATTGCATCAAAATTTGAGGAAAAATCGAACGTTTTGTTAGACCTTAAATACATTATATATATGCAGGGTTCCACACAATTCATTCATGTTGTTCCAAAACAAATAAATTAAGTTAACATAACAAATTTAAGTGGATTGAACTTTCAATTAGGTATAAATGTGTAGTAAAAAAGCAGGGCGACACTGTGGCTCAGTGGTTAGCACTGTCGCCTCACAGCAAGGCGGTTGCTGGTTCGAGTCCCGGCTGGGTCAGTTGGCATTTCTGCGTGGAGTTTGCATGTTCTCCCCACCGGGTGCTTCGTTTTCTCCCACAGTCCAAACACATGCGCTATAGAGGAATTGAAGATACTAAATTAGCCATAGTGTATGAGTGTGTATGGGTGTTTCCCAGTACTGGGTTGCAGCTGGAAGGGCATTCGCTGTGTAAAACATTTGCTGGAATAGTTGGCGGTTCATTCCACTGTGGCAACCTCTGACGAATAAAGGGTCTAAGCTGAAGGAAAATGAATGAAGGACATCAACATACTGAAATAAAAGTCTCCTCGGCTTCATGCAGACTTTAAGATCCGTCTGTCATCACTTTTTGTTAACAATGCCTTGAGTTTAAATGACTTCCACAAACTCGCTTTACTTGAGGGTTTTTCGGTGAATCCAGCTTTGCAGGCCGAGTTAATCTCGCACAAAAGCTTCACAACAGCAACAAAAGACACTGATTAGATGAAGTCTGCAGACTCTCTCCAGTGTAACTCGATCTGTTGAAGTGAAGCCAGGACTGTCCTCTTCTTCTTCCAGAGACTCTGGTGTTGAAACGGGCCCCTGCCTCCAGGATCCACCGCCGGCTGAAAAACACAGAGCTCCAGGGGGTAAAACCGAAGCTCTATTGTAATTGTGTGACTCAGAGATGTCTCAGTGCATGCCGATGTCAAGCAGAAGCATGTGACTTTAATAGGCACTTACAAAACGTACTTCATATTAATGTAGTCAGTCAGTTTGATTGCATTTGTTTTTGTTGTTGTTTTTTAGGGTCACCAAGGCTGATCATAAATACAGTAATATGATTCAAAATATCGCAATTTGCATTTGAATATACAGTTTATATGTATACAGTATTTTATTATGTTTTTTAAATTATTAACATGTCAAAAAATAAATAAATCAAGAATTAAACCTTACTGAAATGTTCAGAATTTTGTGGTAAGAATATATGCAAATTAGCAGATATTTCATGAAATAATAATCCCTGAAAATACCCCCAGTAAAAGCCTTTAATTCTACACTAATGCTGGTTTGTTGTGACTCAATGTTGAGTCAAATATGGGGAAACTCAACAGTTGGGTCAAAAAGTGTCATCTTTTTCACATATTACACTAAAAGTGCTGGGTTGTTGTGACCTAACATTGGATCAAATGTGGACAAATCACATCCAACATTGGGTCAATTTTTTCAATTAAATTTAAATTTCATATTTGACCCAACATTGGGTCACAAAAGCCCAGTATTTTATAGTACGTACTAAGTAAAAAAATACACGTTCTCACACAACGATTGGGTTTGTCTATATTTGACCCAACGCTGGGCCAAAAAAACTGCATTTTATAGATTGTATGTCTCAAAAAAAGAATTAAATTACACTTTTTAACCCAGTGGTTGGGTTTGTACATGTTTAACCCAACATTGGGTCACAAAAACCCAGCATTTTTTAGACTGTGATTTGTCAAAAATAGAATTAACTACACGTTTTAATCCAGTGGTTGGGTTTGTCCATATTAGACCCAACATTGAGTCACAAAAACCCAGCATTTGTTAGACTGTAATATGTAAAAAATAATTTAATGACACTTTTAACCCAACGGTTAAGATTGTCCATATTTAACCCAACATTCGGACACAAAATCTTAGCATTTTCAGACTGTGATATGTCAAAAAAAGACACTTATTAGCCCAGTTTTTGGGTTTGTCCACATTTAACCCAACATTGGGTCACAAAAACTGCATATTTTAGATTGTATGTCTCAAAAAAGTATTAAATTACACTTTTTAACCTAGTTTGTTCATGTTTAACTCAACATTAAGTCACAAAAACCCAGCTTTTTTTAGTCTGTGATTTGTCAAAAAAGAAATTAACTACAATTTTTAACCCACTGGTTGGGTTTGTCAATATTTAACCCAACATTGGGTCACAAAAACCCAGCATTTTTTTGAGTGCAATATGTCAAAAAAAGAAATTAATACACTTTTCAACTTAACAATTTGGTTTTTCCATATTTAGTCCAATTCTGGGTCATAAAAACCCAAATATTTAATGTAAGGTGTCAAAAAAATACTTTTAACCCAACTCTAGAGTTTGTCCATATTTAACCCAACATTGGGTCA